GTGTGTGTGTGTGTGTGTGTGTGTGTGTGTGTGTGTGTGTGTGTGTGGAGGATGGCAGTTACCACAGAGATACTCAATGGCATCCACGTGACTGGATGGAGAGAATTTCTGCCATCACTCACACACTCTGACGAATAAATTATAAAGAAAGAAAGAAAGAAATAACAAGAAATAAACTCATTTCTCTTAAATCTTGTCTCTTTCTCTTTATCATCTCCACTCTTCTGCCTCCTCCCGTCCAAACACCCCCCCCCGCCTGCATTGTTTCCAGAGGTTTTATGTTCCCCCTGTTGTTGTGCAATTATTGCTGATGCCCCGGGCGCTTTGTTTTCCCCGCTTCCTTCATCTCTCTTTCTGCCGCCCACCACGCTTCTCTTTGTCCACCTAATGCCCCTTTGTCCGTGCCCCAGAGCACCCTGGGTAGTGGTGGGTCACGGGGGCTCACAAAGGGGCCACTCGGCCGGCCCGGCGCTCCGGACGCCGGCCCGGTGCCCAAAAGGTCGGGAGGCCGCGGGGTTTTAGGACAACTGGGGGAGTTTCTTTCTTTTTTTGAGGATGACAGAAGGTTGAGTGCGATGTTGAAATGCGCTTTAGGACAAAAGCTGGACCTCGGCCCTATTCAGGGTGGCCCACCTCCCCAGATTCCTCCCAGACGTGACCCCTCTGCTCAGGCCATCAAAGCACGATGAGGTCGCGCAGAGACCTACACAAACACGCCATAAAAAGAGTCTCTGGGCCTCAGTTTGTGAGAATAATGATCTATGCCGACTCCCAGAGAGCCCTTAAGACATTTAAAAAAAGTAAACGAATACATCGCAAAGCCAAGAGATGTAAAACATGATTTAATGGTTCACAGAAGTGGATCTGTGGTGGGGCCGATCCCGGCTGAGCCTAATTACTCCATGGGAAGCGCGTTGAGAGTGTTGTCGCAGAGTTTTGTAAACAGGCTCACGAGCCACGGAGCCAAACTAGCAGGACGTCTAAACGCTGACTGTGCGATCTGCCCGGCTGGTTTATGCAGGACAGGATTTAAGGAGCCAGAGTGGCGACCCCAAATGGGGCCGGATACAATGCTCAAACCCAAACCCTTGATGAGCCTCTTGAGCTGAACCAGTAAAGGAATCAGGATGTCAAACTACAGTAGAACCTCTCCATACGAATTTAATTCTTCCAGGACCTACTTCATATGTTAAAATATTCCTATGTTGGTTCAAATATTCCCATCAGAATACACTATTCGCTCCACAGCCCCAAAACCTACGATAACTCCTTAATAAATACTGCAGATAATTACACATAGCAATAAAACAAATGCATTATATAAGAGTGATGTAAAAAGAAATAAATTATAAAAAAATAATCTATAAAAAGGGATTTTTATTGGCAAGTAAAGGTGGAGACTGAGATACAGGACGTACCCTAACTTACTCTAACTTTCAGCATTTGAACTTTAAACTAACTTAGCTTATTTGTATATTTTATATATTTTTTTCTATGACCTCAACGTCAAACATTTACTTCAGGTGCGGAGTTGAATATTTCATCAAATTCCACTTCGGATGTTGGAAAATTCTTATGTTTAGGCAATCAGAGGTAGAGGTTCTGCTGAACTTTGCTGAGTTGCATACGGATTCTGTTGAAAATAATTTTTTTTAGGTTTTTGTGCTAATCGTTACCTTATCGAAGTCCTCCTGCGTGGCCCTCATCTCCTTCCAGGTCTTGTTGAGCAGCTGGATGCAGACGCAGAAAAGTTCCTCCATCAGCCGGTCCTGACTGAAGAAGATGGGGTGGTAGTCGGATCCCGTCTCCGAGGCTGTTGGGATGGAAAAATTATGCGTCAGGGTCTCTGGAGCCGACGGGTGGTCAGGCGCTCAGAGGGAGACTTACGGGGCTCTCCGATTCGCAGGATTTCGCACAGGATGAGCGTCAGCTGGATGCTGCTTCTGGCAAACGGACACTCGTGTTTGTCCTCTCTGCTGCTGTTCTCCAGAACAAACTGAAATAAATCCCAAATGGGGGCGAAAGAGGAAAGAACAGCTCACATTTGGACTGCCGAGATAGTTGGACAAATTAATATTACCTCCAACTGAATCACTTAAAAACTGAGCTGCTTGTTTTCCCAGCCGAACCAACCAAACACCACAATATCCACATCCAGACTGTGGATCCCTGTCTCTGACTCCATCAAAGGCAGCAAGAAACTGGGGTGCCATGATCGATGACCAGCTGACCTTTAAAGATCATGTAACATCCGTTTTTCTGGTCGCCTCTACACCTCTTTCTGTGCTTTCCTCTATCTCCTCCTGTCACCACTGATTAACTGGGGATTTTCCTCTAGAGAGCTGATTGTCAGATTGATGAGAACTGGAACATTGTGTCTGCTTTGTAAGTCGCTTTGGATAAAAGCGTCTAAATGCAGAAACATGAATTGTTCTCCTCCTTTATCCCTTTTCAATGTAGAAAGGAAACTTTATGAGGAAGCTGAGGCGACAAATGACCCGATGAAGAAGACTCTGACTGCTTTGCTGTGTGGAGCCTGCTCACCCGGCTGTAGGAATCCGGATAGCGACTGGCGAAATAATGCATGGTGTCCAGAGCCAAGAGGCCGGGGGGCGTTCGCTCCAGGTCCTTACTGGGGCTGCTGTTGTTCTGGAAGCAGAGGGTCAGATTAGGGTGGTGGCGGTGGGTCTCAGTGCTGGCGGTTCGGAGGGAGGACGCTCACAGAAAAGCCCAGCTTTTTGAACTCCTTGGCGCAGAGCGAGCGCCGGCGCTCGTGGCTCAGGCTGTTCTCGCTCTCCGTCTCAAACGCCGCCTGCCGCAAATCCTGAAGCATGTCTCTCTGCTCCTGAAGTGGGGGAAGAGAGCGAGAGAGAAATGGACTGGAGGGCTTCGAACTAACTGCTCGCAGAGATTTGCTTCTAGTTTCTCTGGTGTTTCTGACAACCGGCCCCAACAAATGAAGCGAGTCGGTCTAAAAGTGATTGAATTGGAAAAGTCGGCTAACAAACTGTGCGTTAAGAAGTAGATGATTAACATTTGCTTCAATCAAAGTTTGGATATAAAGAAAACAACTGACTTTCGTGTAAAAAAAAGTCTAGAAAAAACCTGGTGTGCCATGTGGGTTGGCTGGTTGGCCCTTTCTCTTTATCCCCTTTCCTGTTCCTACTATCAAATAAAGTTCTCCAAAAGCCATAGAATGCAGGGTTACTTTTGGTTTCTAGAGTCTTCAAAAGCAGACTGGGAGCCTGAGCATTCAGTTAGCTTATAGTTAGGGCTGCTCAGGTAAGTCCACCCTTAGTTATGCTGCTACAGGCCAAGACTGGCAGGGGATTTCCCATGATGCACCCAGCCTTCCTCTCCTCTTCTCTCTCATCTTTTTCAAATTGAATAATAAGAAAATGAACCAGGCTGCCTCCAGCTCACCTGGGTGTAGCAGTCCAGCGCCGTCCTCATGCGAGGTTCCAGGTGGTTCAAGGTGACCGACTGCAGGACGTAGAGGTAGTGGGCCATTTCGTCCTGGACCGCGCCAGAACTGTGGATGATGTTCTGCAACCAGAGGGTTTCGTTACGTCCTGCTCCCCCAAAACTCAGCTCAGCCGGAGGGAGAGGACGACTCACCTTATAGATGTACTGGCGGAGCTTCTTTTTGTTCAGATACGCGAACATTTCCTGCGAAACACAAGATGAGAGCTAATCTCTGAAGATCCTGGAAAGTTCAGTTCAGGCAGCTGGAGGGGAAGTTTTCTAGAAGAGGTTTGGCCTCTGATCCAAGAAGCTTCTTCAGTTCTAACTTATGGTGGAGCTCTGAGTTAATATACTGTAGGTGGAACTAAAGAATTAGGGGAAACCAAAGGTGGCTCTGGTCCCTCCTGCTGGGGGGGGGGGTCACCTGGGGAGGTTAATGGTGGTTAGGGGGCTTTGATGGGTCGGTAACTCCCTGTCAGAATGGTTTGGGTCACATCTTTGACGTGTGAGTCAGGTGAGGGCAGCTGAGAGCTGAATCTTCTTTAGGAACACCCACAAGATTCAGCTCTAAGCATTAATCTGACTCCACAGATGCGAGCTTCAAACCGAGCGCAGAGACGCGTGTCTGACACCGGGTGGCGCTACAGCACCGGCGACCCAGACTGGCGGGCGGCGGATGGCGTTGGGGGACTTTGACCTCTGCATGGCACACGCATCTCTGACTCAACGGCTTTTGTTCAGGACCAACGCGCCGATAAGAAGGCCGGATTTGTTGAGCTATTGTGTGTGTGCTTGTGTGTGTGTGTGTGTGTGTGTGAGCCTGAGAGAAAGGAGGTGGAGGAATGAATGAAGGAACTGTTTCTGCACGGTGACGGAGGAGCGGGGAGAGAACGGAGGGACAGAAAGCCTCGACTGTGGGGACGAAAATCGGAGATGTCGGGACACAATGAGAGCCGCAGAGATTCCAAATGTCTGACCGTTAATTGTGCAACTCCCCTAAAGACGTGCACAGCAAAGCCTGATGTGCACAGGATACCTCAGGAAATAGTCACATAACAATATTTGCCCTAACAGACCAGATTCTATGACTGCATAGCTGGTTCAGCCATCTCTGGCTTTGGTTTTTGGAAAAAAAACTGAGATTTTCAGGATGACATTAGCTAAGCTAATGAAGGGTCTATTGTCTGGAAATCTGACATTTTGGAAGATCCTAGAGAAGCCAAAAAAAAAGGCTAGTTTCCATGCTTGGAAAAACTGGGTCAGCAGGAGTGGAGGATGTTTAATCGAGGAGTACCTGTCTGTCTGCGTCCCCGGCCGTTTGCAGTAGGGCCATCAGGAGGGCCATGGCTTTGGTTTGGATCTGCTGGTTTGTCCTGTACAAAACAAATGACAGCATGAGAAAAAATGACAAGTATGAGAAGAAAAAATAAGTCACCAATGCACCATCAAAGTGCGTCTTTGAACCGTGCGGGTGTGAGAAAGGTTAAGATGCGTATCTAGGGACTTCCTGTGAGAGCGTCAGCACCGGTTCTTATCGTTTGACTGTCTCATAACGACACAGATCTGCCACTTTCACTTCCCTTATCTGATTCTAAACATAAACAATGGTTTCTGCGGCCTCCTGTGCGGAGGCGGACGACTGTCTGGGTTCAGACTCCTCCACTTACACCTGCAGGTGAGCAATGAGCCGCTCCATGGTGACCTCCTGCTTGACTTTGGGAAACAGGTTGTGGCTGCTCTGCACCATGCTCTCCAGGATGTCCAGGGACACCTGCTGGATGGAGGCGTCGGTCGCCTTGGCGTTGACGAAGCTGGCGATCTGAGTGGGGGCAGACACGGGGGAGGGGTCGTAAGGGAGAGGGCGGCCACGGCCATCAGAAGAAAGGGGGAAATGTGAGGTCAGAGAGGAGGCAGACGAGGAACCTTCTGGATGAAAACGTCAGAGAGGTTCTCCCAAGACACGATCCCATGATCCATCAGCTCCATGAAACCAGTCAGGGTGTGCGTCATGATCACGTTACTCCTGAATGACGGGGTCACACATCAATCAGTAAATCAAAATGTATTCATATAGCACTTTAATACAAGCAGAAGCCATCCAAAGAGCTTAACAAATGGAGTAAAATCACAACATAGATAGATAGATAGATAGATAGATAGATAGATAGATAGATAGATAGATAGATAGATAGATAGATAGATAGATAGATAGATAGATAGATAGATAGATAGATAGATAGATATGCTCACTCGTTTGAGTTTTCCACTATCTTGACCAATAGGAGGTGCCCGTCCCGGCTGATGAACTCCTGGGCGAAGGTCACGTCCGTGGAAACACCGGCCAGCTCCTTCAGCGAATCACAGCGCACGCCGGCGTCGCCGCTCTGGATGCCTTTGAACAAGTCCTCTGCACAGCGGCCCTGAGTCCACACAATCACACACACACAAAAACACACACACACACAAACACACTATCAGCAAGAGCACAGGAGAATATTCTGCTCTTCCATAACCAAAAATTCTTCTAAAAGCCCTCAGTAACACTTGAGGCCATTCCTTTCTGGCTGACAAAGGAAACCGAAATATGGAAAAGTAGAGGCTCTACTGGATACTTAGCTTAGAAAATATATGCTTGTTATTTACTCCAGGTTTGGAGCTCCTCGGGTGGTTTTGAGTTAAAAAGGAACACAGACTGGACCCCGAAGTGCACAATCTTGACCTGCTAGTCTTCTTTTAAGCGCTTCAGTCATGGACAAACTAAAATAAATGTTTTAAGCTTATCGAGTTCATGAACTGTGTTGGTTTTGTTCTTTGAGCAAGGTGATGTTGATGTATGGCCCTAATGTGCACCAGTAAAAAAAACGTATACCTATGGCTTGAATTTGGAAAAAAAAAAATATTTTATTTATCACTAAAGAAGGTTCAGTGAATGTGAAACTGATGGGTTCAGTACCTCAAAACAGGCTAAGAACCACTGCTGTAGGGTTAAAGGACTCAGCTCTGACTGGTGAAGTGCACGAAAAGCTAAAGAAGGCAGGAATGTGAAAGGGGGGGGGGTGGCCGGTTGGATGTAGACTCACCGGGGCCTTGGTCAGGCGCAGAATGCAGCCGTTCTTAATTTCCAGGCGGTTCTACGACAACACAGAAGTAGAAGTGTTGGAAACAAGCCCAACTTCAGCCTCAGCTTCATAAATACACCCTATACATCACACATCTGACAAGAGACACACACAGTTATAGACAATGCATCCAAACGAACAGGCTATAACGTCTGATATAACCTTTTTTTTTTTTTTTTTATGTAGAGCGACATCAGGAGGGAAGGTAACTTTTTCCAGGTGAAATAATTCAGTCAGAAATGAAGGAAACAAAGTCAGCTCTGCACCTTCTGGCCTGTAAAGAGCAGGTTTGGCCCCCAGCCTGCCCTCCATAATGAGCAGAGCTTGTGTGGGAGAATAAGCATGTATTCCTGTCTATTAAATCCAAAAAAGGACCGCGCGTGAAAAGCTAAATGAAGAGAACGCAGCTGAAAAGCCAGGAAACACTCAGGGTCATTATTTTTCTCCACAATGAAGGAAAATGCTCTTAAACTGAAACATCTGCGTCAAACAACAAAGTCAAATCAAAGCCTGGAAGTTTATTGTCCTTCCAGTAACTAGAAGACAGGCCACAAATAAAAGCCTTGTGTGAGTTTTATGTTAACAGGAAAATGAAGGTTTCATTAAATGCATCCCATAAAAAATCTAATAAAAGGCATATCTGTGTATTTATTCCCCTCGTGGCTCAGTAACGACTGTAGCTCAGGGGGCTAAAGACGCTCCTGAAAAGGTCTCCTGTCACTAAGAGGGGGAGCAAAGCTCCACTTCTTGGGCTGTTTTGACGCTGCGTGGCTACTTTTATCTACTTCACACATCTCAGACTGTCTCACTCACGGTCTGATATCAAAATGGATGAAAGCCCATCACCTCCAACTGAATCTCTCAAAAACTGAACTGCTTGTTTTCCCAGCCAAACCAACCAAACACCACGATATTCACATCCAGACTGGATCCCTGTCATCTGGACTGGGGATTTTCCTCTAGAGAGCTGATTGTCAGACTGATGGAACATTGTGTCTACTTTCTAAGTGCCATTGGTAAAAGCAGCTTTGGTAAAATGCAGAAACATAAACATAAAAGCCCCCAAAATAAGCTTTAAAAGCCCAAAAAACAGCTTTAAAAGCCCTCAAAAAACAAAGAGAGACATGCAGCTGATAAAGCTCCAAGTTCTAAAACGTCACATGAGCCTCGGCCAGATCTCCTCAGGGGCTTTCAGGGACCGGTGGGGGCGGGACTGACCGATTCGGTGATGTACATCTGCACGCCGTCAGCATACTGCAGGGCGTAGTTCTCAGGCCCGGGGAGATTCCAGCTACACACACACACACACACACACACACACACACGCACACGCACAGACAGACAGGAAGAAAAAAAAAACACCACATCAGCACTCAGCAAACTCACAACTGTGTCAAACATTAACCAGAATCAACTTACCCGTCACACACCTCCTTTATGACGGCCGACAGAGGCTTTTTCTGCACACAGACACACACAGAGGCACAAAGTCAGACACACGACGTGAAAAACGCACACCTGCCGCGCTCTGGCCAGCCACGACGCAGGCACTCTGCTGGTTGGAGCGTTTCCTCTGTGGGGGCATGGGTTATGGGATGGAGGGACCACAGCTATGTGCGCTGGCTGCAAACATTTGAGAGGAAACCCTCTGGCTCTCTGAACAACACCTCCCCCGATGCCCAGAGCCCGTTCGGCCCGTTTGGAGAATGAGAGCCAGACGGCCTCCATGTCTGACTCCCAGAGAGCCTGTGATTAGTGGCCGGCCCCGCGGTCGCACAGTGAAAATGTGTTCTGGTTCTGCGGTCCACCCAGAGGATGGGCTGTTATTAGTGGTGGCCGGGGGGGGGGGTTGACCAATCAGAGGCATCTGGAGGACATGCTGGGACCAATGAGGGACAGAATAGGCTGTGATCTAGAATTGATTTGCTCAAAGTATAGAACATGTTTTGAACCTAAAGCTACACGGTGTAGGAATTTCTCCATCTAACGGTGAAATAGTATTCTGAATTCTAACTAATCGTGCTCTCTAGAGCCTCCGTTTTCAAATAAGTATTGCAGCTACGGTAGCTGTCATGCATCAAGAGGTAATGACAACATGACTTCCACATCATCCAGTTTTCTCTGGGTGATGAGGTTTGGAATTAAAAAAGTAATAGTCTTAATTAATTAACGGAACGCCATGGAAACCTCTGTAGACCTACCCATCCTGTGTATATATAGATAGAAAATTCTTTGCTTATGGAGGAGAAGTAAGATCATTGCAGAGGTCATTTTACACCAAATGAGGACTCATTTAAAATACCACACAATGTCCCTTTAAAACGTGACACAATTAGGATCCATAAGTGCCGGAAAATGCAGCTATCTGTCCTAATCTCAGATGCAGAACATTTTCAAACGCTGCCCTCGACTGTGTTGATGTGAGTAAGTGTGTTTGACCGTGACAACACACAGACACACCCTACGCATCAGAGTTCAAACCCCTCATAAGGAAGTAGTACTTCCTCACAGGGTCTGGGAAAAGCATTGAAAACTTCCCCTCTGTCACATTTGGTTACAGATTAATAAATAAAACTGGTGGGAGAGTGTAATTCCTGTAATTGCTCTTCATGTGTAAGACAACATTTACTTCTCCTAGAGCTGAAAAGGCTGTGTGGAACAGCTTATCCACTGACATCCAGTCCTTACAAGCTAGCCTTACCTGTGCACATTTTAGTGACACTGGGAGGTAAAAACTGGCATACAGTAGAACCTCTACATAGGAATTTCATTTGTTCCAGTACCGACTTCGCATGATAAAATATTCGGATGGTGGTTCAAATATTCCCATAAGAATACACTGTAATTCCTATGATTCGTTCCTCAGCCCAAAAAACTACAATAACTCCTTAACAAATACTGCAGACTACCTGAACTTTAAACTAACTTAGGTTATCCGTTTCTATTTCATTTTTATATTTTATATTTTATATTTTTTTTCTATGACTTTGTCCTATGATGGAAATTTACTTTCGGTGCCGAGTCGAATATTTGATCGGATTTCACTTCAGATGTTGGAAAATTCGCATGTTTAGGCAGAAGTAGAGGCTTCGCTGTGTTTGGATGGACGTTTGGTACCTGGTCCAGCTGGATGAGCTGGGGGTAGGCCCCCGGCATCTGGATGGCTATCTTCACGATGTCCTTCTGCTGTGGCATCTTGGCCCCTCTTGGCTCCACCTTTCAGCAGCTGGTTGAGACAAAAAGGAAAGTTTCCGGCAAATGTGAGAAACGCCACAGGTCCTCTGTCCTTCTTCCCAACTTCAATATAAAAAACAACAAACAAAACACAAAGTGATGAATGGTGCTGCACAATCCAGGCTGTAATCAGAGGTTTGAACACTTATAATCAGCTGAGCCACAAAGCTGAGCGCTAAACACGTTTATAGGCCACAAAGAGGACAATGATTTGGTAAAAAAACAACAGCCTCAGTTTGGTTCGAAAGACGACAGGCCGATATCTAAGTCATTTGAAAGAGGAGTGGGCGGCAGCTCCGAGCCCGGGGCAGCGTCTCTGTGCAGGTCACCGGCAGCCCTGTCATGACTTATACTGCTCAGTCCTGCTATCACTTTCAATATGAAGCAGTTCAGCAAAGCCTTCCTCTTTTTCTGCGTATCCCAGTACAGTAGAACCTCTACATACAAATTTATTTTCTTCCACAACCTACTTTGTATGTTAAAATATTTGTATGTTGGCTCAAATATTCCCATCAGAATACACTATAATTCATTACACAGCCCAAAAACCTACGGTAACTTCTTAATAAATACTGCAGTAAATTACACATATTAATAAAACAAATGCATTATATAAGAGAGATATAAAAGAAATAAATTATAAAGAAATGATCAATAAAAAGGGTTTTTATTGGCAGGTAGATGTGGAGACTGAGACGTACCCTAACTTACTCTAACTTTCAGTCACTATTTATTTCATATATATATATATATATATATATAAATATTTATGACTTCGACGTCATGTATGCTGGAAATTTACTTCGGGTGCCGAGTCGAATATTTAATCGAATTGCACTTCGGATGTTGGAAAATTCGTATGTTCAGGCATCGTTAGTAGAGGCTCTGCTGTGCAGCGGAGAAGGAGCGCCTGAGCGGCTCAGATAGCGTTCCCAGAAGGAGCTGTTGTGTTTCCCACCCCCCTCAGCGCATGGAAACAATGCCGCTGGATCTAAACCGCTCCTTTGTTACCGCCATTGCCATATTCAGTGGGGGGGGTTGACTTCCAGCGGCATGGTGGTTAGCACCATGGCCCCACAGCCAGAGGCTTCTGGGTTTTAGTCCCCGGGGGAACCTTTTAGTGGAGTCTGCAGGTTCTTCATGTGTCTGGTGGGTTCTCTCCGGGTTCTCCGGCTTCCTCCCACTGTCAAAAAACCTGAATTCCTCTCTATTTCATGAGGCCTGACTACAGCTCCAAAGGTGCCTGCGGTAACGAGCTGATGCCATCCACCTGCGAGGAGGCCGGTCCACCAATCAGGAGGGGCCACTCATAGGACTCCGGGACCTGGAGAGCATATCGTTAGGGCCCTGCTCCAGGCCTGTGTGTGTGTACAGCTTTGGAGGATGTTGTTTTGGAACTGTGCTTTGGCACTTGAATATAATTTTGACGGTTTTGAATACAGCAGAACCTCCGCTTACGATTACCGAAACGTACAAATTTTCCAACATCCAAAGTGAAATTTGATCAAATATTCGACTCAACAACCAAAGTAAATTTCCAACATACATCGAAGTCATCGAAAAAAAAAAAAAAATTAATAAAATAAAAATAGATAAGCTAAGTTAGTTTAAAGTACACATAGTGAAAGTTAGACTAAGCTAGGGTATGTCCTGTATCTCAGTCTCCATCTCTTCCTGCCATGTAGAGGTTCTACTGTATTTCCAGTTGGTTTTGTGTGTTTTTTTGTTTTCTTTGGATCCTCTGATTTAAATGCAGTTGGTTTTTTGTTCTCTTTTGTTTCTCTTTTTGGTATTTGATTGCTACCTTTGTGCTCATTGGTCGAATCTTTCCTGTAGTTAATAACTTGTTGTCATTAGCAAGAACATCTGGTTTGTGTTACATCCCTTTCCCCTAAACCAGCTGGTTGTAACATAAGTTCGTCCCTCTCTCAGGGGTTTGATGGCAGAGGTGGAGTTGGTGCCGGCTTGTGTCCGGTGGGAGCAGTGACTCCCACCCTGCTCCACCTCTGTGGGAGGCTCTCCAAAGCTTTACTCCTACTTAAAACCCTCCCCTCCTCCCCTCTGAGGCAGCAGTTTTCCTCATGAATGGATCCTCCATGATCCTGCTCCACTGTGAGGACAACTCATGATAAATGCAAGAAAAAATGTAGGAACATTGTACATCTGTTCTAACAACACTAAAAACATGTGGAATGGGACATATTGCATGTGTATTCTTTGAGGTGCATTTACACAGATAAAGTGCTGCGTCGAGTCTGTTAGATTCCCACCGGCAAAACGGAGCAAAATCTTTCAGAGATTTGCAGGAATGTAGGTTAGTTGGAGGAGCTTGGAGCAACTAAAATGGCGGGTAATGTTATGTCTTAGCCACCTGAGCCGTTTGGTGACAGATGTGAAACCGTGATGCCAGATTACAGCTTCAGCTGCACAACAAAGGCGACTTTGTCAGAACGATTCATCACAGATACACATAAATAATTTCCCTCTGGGATTATTAAAGTATTTCTGATTCTGAGGTCAGGTCCAGAAATTCCGCAAACAGATTCGCTGCAATTTTGAACCAAATTACGGGTCTGTCGGTTTCTGAGGAACCTTAAAGTTTCCCGGTTTTGGTTTTCTAGCATCACGGGAGAAAAAGCCGAGTCAAACCGATCATTTTCGTGTCATGAAAAGATTTAAATGAGTTGACTGAAATGAGCTTGTTTGAGTCAAATCCTTGACTCGGGTTGTTGAAAGCTTTCAGATTCTATTCCTCAGAGTGGTTTCACTGTCGGCTCTTAGCTCAGCACTTTTGCTTCACCCGTCACACATTATCGTAACTAAAAAAACTCTTTGTGATAGAGTCTAAAAATATTCCTGTTCGGGGTAGTTTGGTTTCTTTTTGTCCAATATATCAATATGAAACTACCACGGCAAAGTTGACTGAAGCCTCCCGTAAAACACAATCATAATCATGCATATAAAAGATAAAAGTGCTCTCTTGCTGCCACTTTGGGCCAGGTTCACCTACATGGGAGCCAATGGGAGCGGCGGACTGCTTAGTTGTGTCGGCAACGTTGTTGATACTCTAATTCTGGTGGAAAATGCCGAAACCGGACTGGACGTCTGCTCTGTGATGATTAAAACGGCCTGTTAGGACAACGAGGATTGAGCAGGGGGCTCCTGAGCCCTGAGGGCCCCAAACCAGCATGTTCCTCTCCAGATCCCGTCCATGAAGATCCCCAACAGGATCTGTGACGAGGCTGCTGGAGTCCAGCAGGAACAGCCCAAAGCCGTGTTAGGAATGAGGATGCTGCTCTTCCTCTGGTTCTAAAGGGGCCGAACAGCTCATGGGAGCCAATCTGGGACCCCATACGGGCTCAGACCCCAATCGGAGCTCTGTCCAGAAGCCTGTGCCTGATTCTGACCAGAGCGTCGTCTCCTGAGTCCATCTGAGGACTCAGAGCCCACGTCAAGACACGAATCAGCTTTTGGAGTTCGTCCACTCTTTTTAAACTGGTAGAAAAAAAGAAAAAATGACATGTGGCTTTTGGGGGCAGGATTAGATGCCTGTTTTCATCAGCGGCTGTTCCACTTATGAACTACTTAAAGAATATTATTTTTCTTTAATCATTTGATTTAATTTGGCCAGGTTTCATCTGTATGAGGAACGACTTTCTGGGAGCTCTGCAGTAAAAGGTTTTACATAAACAGGACCTCAGCAACAGGGTTTGGCAGAGCTAACTAACTCCGAGCCTGTGGAGCAGGCGGCTAAACACTGGGACCTCCAGAGCCTTTAGCTCCACCCAGCGCACCGCGACCTGCCTGCACACGCCCCGGGCCCAGAGGAACGCTGGATGGGGCTGGAGATTTTTTTCCATTCCTCAGGATGAAGGATAAACTTAAGTGCTGCTGGTTTCCTCGTCGAACACGAATCTAAACGAGCTCAGAAAGGCCGAGACGACACACACAAACCCTCATGGTTACAACAGGGGGCCGGTTTTGGTCTGCAGGGAACCCAAAAGACTTTTAAAAAATAGAAAATACGTTTTTCCCCCTTCTCCATCATTCAATTGGTTAGAACTTCTCTCTCTCTCTATGTCCTTTTCTCTCTGTCTCCCTGTCTGGTTCTGCCTTTTAAAGGAAGTTTTTCCTTCCCTGTGTCTCCCAGTGCTGCTCTTGGTGGGAATTGTTGGGCTTCTGTGAATAACCTCAGACCTGCTCTGTTTGGAAAGCACTGTGAGAGATAACTGTTGTTGGGATTTGGGGCTAAATAAATAAAATTGAATTGAACTAAAAGCGTTTCCTCAGCAAATCGCACAGCGGAAGCTTCTGGTCTCTGCCTCTAAAGAAGGTTCAGCACCAAAGTGTGAGTCAGCCGGCGCCTGTGCCTGTCTGTGCCTGTTCACATTGAGCAAGAGAAACCACACCTCCCGCGTGTGAAAACGCTTCCCAACACAAGTCAACACAATAATGCGCCGCAACAACTGGCAGCTCACGCTTCGCTCATCTTACATTTCAGGGTTTCGCTCTCATCGGGTGTCAGTATCACACAGATTTCTCTTCATAGGGTCAAATGTTTCCTGCTTTTTCCTGCTCGTCTGTTTGAGAGGGGAAGGGGACGGTTCGGCCCTGAGAGGACAGCCAGGGCCACCTTCAGAGAATGACACATTTCTACACCACCTGTGGTCTGGATGGGCTCAACCACCAAGACACCGAGCTGCAGAGGTGTGGAGGCTGAAAGGGAAACGTGAGGCTCAACACAACCCCCCTCCACCCCCCCCAGTCAGCCTCATTAGGGAAAAAAAACCACAAGCACGCACAGACCTTTGTTGGCCTGCACATCTGATGTGTGTCTGAGACCTCCTGCACTGACAGACCCCCCTCACCCCCCCACCGGGTAGGAGAGGGGGGAGGCTTTCAGCTGCCTCAAATTCCTGACCTGACAGAAACGCACACGCTCAGAAATCTTGTCTTTTTTTTTTCTTTTTTTTTTGCTCCCCCAAGAATTATGACTCAGATGAACTAAATTGTTGGGCCCCTGATGGGGACTGAACTAAACCTTTAACAGACACACAGCTGATGTCTGACCGGCTCATTCTCATGATCTACGCCTCTTTCATAAGTTTTGATGCGTGCTGGACACTCGAGCTGCTGTTTGTTTGCAGTTAATCGCAGATTGAGCAGGTTTGCTTATTAATTGTGATTTTTTTTTGGTGCAAACATTAAAAAAACGAAACGCTTAAACAGCTGGATTATTGTGTTTCCCCTGTCTGTGTCCTACTTACCTGGAATTAAAAAAAAAAAAAGGAAGAAAAGACAAGTGGAGGGCTACTGTCCTGCAGGAGCCGCCGCTGTCGGACCGACAGACATTTGTATCCGTTTGCTTTTCCCTCAATTGGAGCGAAGTCCCGTCCGTCAAAGCTGTTTTCTCCTCGGAAAACGATCCGGCTTCTTTGGAAAAAAACTGTCAGAAAAAAATCCTCGCGGCGACTTTTTCGGGATGATTCGTCGGCCAGAAAAAGTTCCGGGTTGGCCCAATAGTTGTGCCCAGTTTGCACCAGCGCCGAGTTTGTTCAGATTTGTTTGCGCGTGTTTCCGAGTGCGGAGGCTGGCTTCCGGTTTGGTTCTTCACAATAAAAGCGTCGCGTCGTAGGGTCTTTTCCACCATAGACATATAAAAATGTGTCTGTGTCTATATGTATATGTGTCTGTGTTTTCCACGGCTCTGATAACGATGCAACCATTAAAAAAGCAAGTTACTCGACATTTCTGCACTTTTTCATGCTGGCCTGGAAGATTTAATTCATATTTCGGTGTTTTATTTTTCATTTTTCAACAGACGAGTGGTTTTGCTTTGGAAAGAAAATTTTAAGGACAGAAAAAATAGTTCACTTCTCACTCTGAGATGATTTAGTGAAAACGCTTATCCAGAGTTCCGGGTCGGGCTGGTCTGGTGGCAGCTGCCCCCTGCTGGCCGGCCTCCAGCAGCGCGCCGGAAAACAACACAACTCCTGACAAAAACTAAATAAAACACAAACACTGCGTCGCTCAGGTCGCCTCTGCTCCGTGCAGATAACTCCCCACATCAATCATCTCTCTGGCTGTTTCATGCATCTGTTGGTACATGTCGACAGGAAACATGAGGAGGAAAAGATAATAGGGAAAACAGCCATTTCTGACACATAGGGGTTGTTTTGTAGGCAGTCAGTATGGTATTAACCCTGTAATACCTTATGTGTCATATTTGATAGTTTCTATAATCTATTGCCTCATTTAATGGTATAAACTTTACTCAAAACCCATTAGATTTACCATATAAGTGTACAGAAGACTATAATAGTTTTTATTAATTTTAAATTAATTAATTTGAATTTTAGAGCCATACAGAAACTTCGGACTAAAAGAATTGACTAAAATGTTTTTTTTTTGGGGGATGTTAATGCATCCACTTTTACTATCAGAATCGTGTTTTCACCTGAGCTTACTGGAACAATCTCATTTCATATCTCTATATTCATATAGAAATACGACGTCCTGGTGTGTTAATAAGGGACCAAGATAAGAGGACAGCGCACAGAAGATACCAAAAGTGTTTAATTGTTTAAACCGACACAACTACAGCTGTTGAAAACAGTCTGTTGGAGTCTCACACAGACGGGAGTCATGTGACCCGCTGCTCCAGAGCTTTCTGACTGGGCCAAAAAACACTGCCCCCCACAACCAAGACTGGCTTCAGGCGGGGAGACGACGCACGGCCAGCAGCCTGTAGCAAAGGTGTAAAAAGTGCAACAGCCAGACAGGAAGCTCTGGCAAAGCAGAGGGTTTTTTAATCCATAAAGTCCTTTAACTTTGAAGTATAGCCCCTAATTAGTAGCAACGATCCTGTAATAATATATCTAGCTGGTATAAAAAAATAAATGCTATTCTATACAAGCAGTAGAGCGATATACACAGGACGCACTTTACATACACGCACACATCATCCGAGGCAAAACTGGACATAATACGAGGGTATTTGTGTGCTCGGCCGCACCGGCCGCTCTGTCCTCCGCAAAGGGAACAAACAGGGCAGGAAACGTCCAATTTAGAGGGCCAGGCTGGTTTTACCACAAACGAGGACGACCTGTAAAGACCGAGTGAGGCTCCGAGTAAGACAAAAATCAGGCCAAACCGGAGCCCGTTTCATGACACACATACTCAGCCCAGAGGGTTCTACATACAACACCTGCCATAAAAAGCTTGTGGTGTCGTTTACTGGATGAATTTCAATCGGACTCGGTGAGGAATTGCCCTAATGGCAGCGTCCAGCACATTTGGGAGCAGATTTACACACTTTCCTTCAGCCCATTCCGGGTTTACATGTAACACTTTTCTTTTTCTACACGTAACACTTTTTTGAACAGGTGCTGATGCAAAATGACACATTTCCTCCCAACCTCTTTATTTTTGGTGCTTTTCTTTACATTAAAAGTAAATTGGCTTGAATAGCCGAGCTTTAAGTTACTCTTTGTTTATAATGGCCAATAGATTTGGCTAAAAATCAGCTAATTTTTCATCTTTCTGACATCATATAGAAAGGCATGATTATTTGAGTCAGCTGCCTTTGTTAGTTCATAAACAACTGCCCTCAATAGTCTCATGTGCTGGCAATACCAAATATATATTCTCTATGTACATAAAGACAGTGCATATTAAACCAGCTGTTTGGGATCCCACATGAGCTGTCAGACTGCTGTGTCTCCAGCCCTGATAAAAATAAAAAAAAGGGGGAAAAAAGGGGGGGGGTTCTATAATTTTTTTTTCGGTTTTGTTTTTTCCCGGTGAGATAATTCAGTACAAAAGCACACCCACTGCCACACACATTCATTCACAATTTGATACACAAACGAAATGCTTTATACACAAGAATCCAAAAATATAAATTTGAATCTTTTTCCTTGGAAAAGCAGTAAGTAAAAGGAGTTTTTTCTTTCTCTCGCCTGGATTTCTGTACATCAGGCCTGTGTCTGAGCTCAGCTGTGGCTGGCCGGGGCGAGGCGGAGGTTTCCTTTACATGCTCAGCCGATGGCGTGGGCCTTCCTGCCCCTCCCCTCACCTCCACCGTCAGTGGGCGGGGCCAAACGGGGAGACACTGAGGACAGATTAGCGTATTTGGGTGAGCGGTGCCATCAGTCTCGGGGTCAGAGGTTGAGGATGGGCACGTCGAAGAGGTCGCAAAGGCCTTCTGTCTCGTCCAGGTTGTAGATGTAGTCGTGGTCACTGGGCGGGGGGGACAGACGGAGGAGAGGCGAGAAGACTGAGGGAAAACAGGCAGAAGGAAAGCAGTTAGCCTCCAGATGACCTACTGTGTAGTTCCTCTGAATATAGAGTTGGTAATGTTTGACTGGTGTTGTCATCTGTAAAGAAACTGTGTGCCTGTTAAACTGTATTTCTGTGACTGGAATTATTGTATTGTGTTTTTCCCGATAAAAATATTTGGAAAAAGAAGAAAAGGAAATTACCTTCTGATGACATCAAGTCCTCCAACAGGTCTCCGCTCATGATCTCTGTGGAAGGAATAAAATGAAGAGTCATGCATCAACATCTTAAGATCTGAGAAAACCCTCAAGGGCCCATAATGAAACATTTATTCCTTGTGCTTATCCTTAAACTCTTCTTAGAGGTGGATGACATCCCACTCCACAGCAGCCATTACGTGGGCGGCGGAGGGCCCTGAAGAACTTTACCTTTTGTTGGATCAAACAACTCGGACAGCTCTTTGGGGAAGTCCAGCACTACGGGGAATAAAGGAAAACATTTAGTGGCAGACAGACTCCTCCTCATCTGTCACATCACTGCTCCACACAGAAAATGGTTGGATAAACATTACAGCAGGAGTCTGAGGGACGCTTTATTTTTAAGGAATTTAAGGCTCTAAAACAGCTCGACTTAAAGCTACACAGTGTAGGAATTTCTCCATCTAACGGTGAAATAGTATTCTGCATCCTAACAAATCGTGCTCTCTAGAGCCTCCGTTTTCAAATGGGAATTGCAGCTACGGTAGCTGTCATGCATCCAGAAGTAATGACAACATGACTTCCATATTATCCAGTTTTCTCTGGGTGATGAGGTTTGTAATATTAGTGTGAGCATGTAATTACTCCTCTCACTTCTTAGAGCTGGTTTCAGTCAGGTGACTCTGGCTCTGAAGGAAATCGGTTGTGGATTAGCTAGACAGGCAGACTAGTGCTTTATTTCACTCTCTCCTATTATAGTTTTTCAAAATGGCGGAATGCCGTGGAATCCTCCGTGGACTTATCCGTCCCGTGTACATACAGATAGGAAATTCTTCCTTATGAAGAGAAGTCAGATCATTGCGGAGGTCATTTTACACCAAATGAGGACACATTTATAAATCAAGACAATAATTTGAGCTAATAAAATATCTCAAATACAACACAATGTCCCTTTCAGTGGGCTGGGATGTGGTGCGGCTCTCACATTCGGGTGGGCCGGTCTTGACTGGCTCGAACACGGAGGCAGAGGAGGACGCAGACCCGTCCAGAGAGGCGGAGGACTGCAGCTGCTGGGCGACGGCTGCAGGCCTCTCTGTCGGGGCGGCGCTCGGCACGTCTGCGGACAGCAGGACATTCAGCATGAGGAGTAATAGTTAACCACACTGGACTTGATTGTGCTCGGGGGCCTCGACTATCCCACCTGTTGATGTCTGGCTGGATGCAGGACCGGTGGCCATAACTTGTTTTGTGGCAGTGGAAGGAGCTGCTTTTGAGATCTGGAGGATAAAAGGAATCATGTCAATTTAGGATAACAGAAAAAGGGGCTTAATCTGGTGTGTTCAAAGGTATGTTGACACAGAAAACAATCCCACATCATTCAGTCAATGTGGATTTTAGTGGAGGCGGCACACCTGGGTGCCTTTAGTGGAATTAGCTCAGGGTGATCATTGGGTAAGAACTTGGGCAGAGGTCAGAGGAGGGTGTGTGGGGTGATGATGGAAGCATCAAGTCCACCAAAAAGCAGAAAATCAGATGATAACTTGTCAACATTTTCCCGAAGGCTAATGTTAAGACAGCTACAGGGGGAAACCAGACCTCAACACCTCTCTTCACCCCTCTGTTTTGCAGCATCAACAGATGTGGCCATAAAGCCACACATGGCTGTACAATCATCAACATAAAACATCAATAAAGATTGGAGCTACGGCAAAGTGGTATGTGGACCTTTCCCCCAACATGTACAGCAGAACCTCTACGTATGGTCGCCTAAACATACAAATTTTCCAACACCCAAAGTGAAATTTGATCAAAAATTCGACTTGACACCCAAAGTAAATTCCCAACATATGACGTCAAAGTCATAGAAAAGAATATATAAAATATCAAAATAAATCCATCCATCCATCCATTGTCCACCGCTTATCCGAAGTCGGGTCGCGGGGGCAGCAGCCGGAGCAGGGAAACCCAGGCTTCCCTCTCCCCGGCCACTTCAGCCATTTAAGTTAGACCGTCTCCTGCATCGCTAAGCCTACACCTCTGTCGATAGTCATTATTGATTATTTCTTTATAATTTATTTCCTTTTTACATCTCTCTTATATAACGCATTTGTTTTATTGCTATGTGTAATTATCTGCAGTATTTTTTAAGGAGTTATAGGTTTTTGGGCTGTAGAACGAATTATAAGAATTACAGTGATGGGAATATTTTAACCAATATACAAATATTTTAACATACGACGTAGGTCCTGGAACTAATTAAATTAGTATGTAGAGATTCTACTATACAGGTAAAAAGGAAAACACCGTTCAACGACAGAGTCCCTTGTTTCCCCGTTTTACACAGAAAAAAATGAAGAAATAATCCATGTGGACCTGTGAGGCAGCAGCGGGCAGCTGTGAGGTAGGTGTCGGTGCTGGGAGGCTCTGGAGGACATCATCTGGGGGAGGGACAGGCAAAACAACAGGACAGGCACTGGACGGGTCCTTGTTGACCAATAAAACCTCGATGGGACCAGATGTACTCTTGAGACGAATCTGGTATTTCCTCTGTCCGTTGAGGACCTGCACACATTCAGTCCGTCACCCAAACAGAAGAGCCGCTGGATTTAGGAGTTAATGCTCACAGGAGGGATTACTCACAGCCTCTGGGATGGGCACCTCCAGCTGTGTGCCTATTGGAGCACGGATAGCCAGAAGTGTGTCACCTGAGGGAGGAACCGAGGAAGTGAACAAACAGCTGCTTTAAGCGGTGAAGAAATGACCGACATGTGTAACAGTTACCTTTGAAAGCTCCACAGAGGTCTTCATGTTTGATATAGGCCATAGTAGGAACATGTTAAGGGTCCAGAGTGAGGAACACAAGTGATGCTAACACATGATTTGAGTGTACTTCTGCACTTTGTGAGACGGCAGAATCAAGAGCCTTTTCGTCTCTAGGATGGCTGATCACCCCAGAGAAGACATTACAGAGGATTCATGTCAACAAATACAAGAGACATTTGGGCTCATCTGTCCGACTGTGTAACTAAGCAACGCCTTTCTTCAGACCCACCCGGCCCATGTTTGCCCGATGACATCATTGATTGCTGTACACCCCAGAGAGCGCCTTCCTGAACCACAGAAAGGTTATTTAACTGTTCCAACAAGTCGATGAACACTCTTAGACATGTATGTGTAAACAGCCAGGACGGGGGGGTGGATCTAAGCTGACTGGCTGTAAATGAGGATAAGCCCATACAACTGTTAATCAAATTAAATCCTTTTTTCGAGACAGTTCTTTGTGTCATATTCAATAATACATTTTTTTAAAAGCCATCGTCGCACATCGATCCCTTTTGTGAGTATTCTGTGCAAATTATTTAAAGTCATTAATTATAGCTTAGGCAAATATAACTGTTCTTTTCATATTACCTACACTTGGCAAAACTCAGTCAAATCAAAATCAAATGTAGAAAGAACATAACACAGAGTAGAACTGTTGAAAATCACAGTTATTCTGAAAAAATTATTTAAGTCTAATTTATTATGACTGTGCGAGCAAGCCGCCGTTACAGCCAACAAGTTACCACTTCAACCAAACCAACCCGTCACATTAACACAGAGACCCAAACAGACTGGGCAGGGAAGGATATGGGCTGTTGTTGGAGTCGTCTGTGACATTCTTGATGCTCTGCTGGACCCAGACTCTTTGCTGGTCCAGCTCTTGTTCCCTGAGAGCCAGGTCATCGAGCTCCGCCTTCAGATCGATCAGCTTATCGGCTATTTCCCTGGTGTTGCACCCCGGTCCCACACCCCTGAAACACAGAGGGAGACTCTGGTGACTGGTAACAGGACTTGGTGCAAAGGAAGAGCCCTGAACATTTGGAGCGCTTTTAAGCAATCATTAAAAAATTTTAAATAGCACGCTAGTCTTAGCAGATTCATCTTCTTCCCAACTAGCAAAGTTTTTTAGGCGATTCAAACCTCTTTTTATAAAACCTAGACAACTTTTCTGAGATGAAGATGCTGTCAGATAAGATGCCAACTGCAAATCACCTCATGCTAAAAACATGGGGGAGGATTTGTATCAGTCTGCTGTCAAAGCTTCATAAATGAAAAGTGAGGTACAAGAAAATGAAAAGATGATCTTACTTCCATTGGATACTGTTCTTAGACTTCTTCTCTATCAGACCGATTCCCTCCAGGACATTAGTGATATCATAGATGCGTCTTTTTTGCCGCACTGCCAAGGTGTCTGCTGCCTAAATAACAGGAAAAAATACACAGATTGTAGACATCTGTTCTGAAACGGATCGATATGAATATGAAAGATAAATGCCATTATCTCTGTGCCAACAGCTGGCTGCGACCACGAAAAAATTAACATTTTGCAAACATCTCTTCCGGCTTTACCCCCTGGTTGCACTAACGGCAGTATGGTAAGCATTGATAAGTCTACATTGGTACCAGCTCACAGGGAGTGTCAAAAGAAGAAGAATGAAAGAGAAAGAAAAAGGAATGAATGTTTGTTTTATATGCAAAGCCCAGTGAAACAAAGAGGCCAAGTCACTGTGGTCACAAAAGCAAGAAAAATAACAACTTTTCCTTTATATGAAAGGTAATATGTGGCTTATAGAGCTGCTATCACCCCTACTATTTTTACTGAGAGAAAAAGCAGCCAGCTATGATTTTGAGGTGAATATTTTTAGTCAATATCTGAAATTTGACATAAAAAGATCAGATATATAATATTTTTATATTAATGAAGAAGGCTAAATTACTTCTTAAGATAACCAGAGTTAAATATTTCAGCCTTTACAAGTAGGATCAGTCTTTTGTGTATAAAACACCTGACTCACTATGAGTGTTGTGAAGCCAACCAACGTTATTTAATGACCTCCCACTAAAAGATGAGAGTCCAGTAATTTATACAAAAGTTTAGAAAACCAGTGTATGCATGTCATTCCGTGGCAGAGATAACATCAATCAGAACTGCTCAACTGTGAAGATGCAGCAGCCTTAACTAAGGAGGGGGGCGGGGGGGACGACAAAAGCTGACCCACTTTTAAAACTTTGAATCTGCAGGGGGCAGAGTCTAAAAAGTTGACCGGTGTTCTCAAAGTTCATGTAGCGTGTAACACTTTGTTTCCCTCTCAGGGAGGCAATGATACCCCAACAAAGCGTTAACTTTGAGTGCAACTGTAGCTCTGATGTAGCAAAACTGGAAAAAAATTAGCTAGAATATAACATCCATTCAAATTAGCCTAGCTAGGCTAGGCTAACAAGCTAGCGAAAGTGAATGTAACCCAACGACAGCAGGCAGGTTCAATATGACATGTGCTAGCTAACAACAAAGACTAGGCTGCATGCTCACAGCTTTCAGATCCAGCACTCCGTCCTTCGCCTCCTGTAGTAAAGTCACAAACTTGGTCGTAAGCAGTCCCAAGCTCTTTTCGTGCCTGCTTGGAGTCTGTGGCTGCACCGAGTCCCCCACAGCTCCCAGGTCGCCCCTGTTACTAGCCGTCTCCAGCTCCATCATCACTCGGGACCAGCTCCGTACTTCCCCCCTGCCTCCCCGACCAAATCCAGCCAGCGAGCCCAGGAGAGCACGCTCCGCCACCGCAGTCAAATGCACAGAAGACCGGTATAGTTTAATGATGCCGACGGAGCATAAACAGCCTGTTTTTTTGCTAATATTCCACTAAACGGAGCTGAAACGGCTGACTACGGTAATTCAATGAGCGAGCAGTCGGTTGAGAGCCGTTGGCCACGCGAGGTATGACGGGACGGTTCAACCGTCAGAGGGAATGTCTCCAAATGTTCACATGCACCAGAAAAGCGAGTAACAACAAAAAAGAGACTTTTGAGGAAAATGTTAAGTGCTAATCTAGATATCTGTTCGGTGCTATTTATGCAGTAGCAATGATTGACAAAATACAAATTTGTCTCCAATTCATGACTCTAAAATAATTAATTGTCGGGATTTACAAAAGCATAATTTGTACACGAGCCCTTACTCGCTTAAACTTGAAGAAAACACGCACGCGGATACAAACATGCACGGATACAAAACAATTAATCGAGTTTCTTATTTTATCTATATTAATTCTAATTCATGTTGTTTTGTTTATTTTTCCTATGCTTATTAAAGTTATGTTTTTTTCTGTATAAATAACAAAGTCACCCAGAGAGAAAGTTTGAGTCACTGTCAATTTCTTTAAATACATTTTTGTTTAATATCTTCAGAATTCAATTTCTTTAAATACAAAAATAATGAGCTTACATACTTGGTCAATAAATCTGATTCTGAAATACAGTACAGTCCAGTTTGAAGTGTTTGTATAATTTTGTGAGGAAATGTCCATTTTTTTAATTCAACCAGAAAGAAATGTGTCCTTGGATGTTACGAATACTTTCAATAATATTCTATTATATATTAACTTACATAATTATTTATACCTAAAAACTAATATATATACATGTAATCCATATTTTATTAATAAAAGGCTAACAGGTCTCATTCTTTAAAATTCACTATACACTACCACCCACTAGAGGGCAATATTGTATGAGGAAAAAAATCGTTCTAGTAAACGTTCTTATTTTATACTCAGCAGATTCGTGTATTTTATTTAATCAATTGAACATAGAATGACAAAATATATTTATGTACGAGTATATCATAGCAGTTTTTGTACATAACTTGCAAAATGCTAATATATTACCCAAAGAATATAAAAAAAGCTGGGCCTACATTGTGTTGAAAGTGCTGTTTCCACGATACGGCTACTTTATGAGACGGTCAGCTGATGTGAGAAACTGCCCTTGCTACAGCGGAAATAACGTTACTGCCTTCATTCAGACCCAGGTAAACCCGGCTCCTGAAAGCTCATATCTTCTTTATTACATGCAAACGTTTGTGTATAACCTCTCGTGTCTGTGAAAAAGCATTTCTATGTGTTTTTTAGAAATATTATTAGCTCTGACGCTAGCCTGTTACTAGCTCAAGATGTATCAATCTGTTCAGTCATCACCTGTTTACAAAAGTATGATGCTTTTTGCATGTTCAGAACAACACAACTGCTGTCTAAAAGCTAAATATTTGTGAGGCTCAGTTTTTCGGTTATACCCAGCTATTTTTTGTGATGTGTCACATTGCTTGATGAATGTTTATATTTTTTATCCGCAAATTCAGTCCAGTACTAAGATGGTAATTTGGTATTGCTGTTACATATATTTACTGTGTTTTGTGTTTTCTAGTTCTAGCCATGAAGAAGAGCAAAGCCAAAGCGAACAGTGCCGCAGAGAAAGAGTTTGTGTTTGAGTTCAGGGCAGGCAAACACAACTGTGTTCTCAAAGTGCCATTACAGTTTCCTGTGCAGTTGAACATCAGTGACCTTCATGGGCGGCTGATGCTGCTACATAAAATACCCTGCTATATAGAAAGTGGTGAGTTTGCAATCCCAGTTAAAGATAATCAAATATATGCTTTGTTATGACTCATAATCAGTGCATTTCAAACAGTTCTGAGCACCCTTTGAGTCAACCTTGAGTCAAGTATTATGCTTTGCTGGCCTACATTTTGCATAACTTTCTATTAGAAATTATGGCTGGGGCCTCCTATTTTTAGAGCTTGGACGTAATCATTTGATGCCATAATCTTATTACATCCACACTTGAAATTAAAATCGACCCCAGATCTAAGTACTTTAGACTAATGCACCAATATAATGAGGTTGGGAATCGATCACTCTTGCATGTAAACACCAAATTAAACTCAAATGGGCCTTGGTGCCTAATCCTAATTTTGTGGCTGCTGTATAATTAAACAAAACTATCATTGAACTAACTTGAAGGCAGTGTCAGTGCTGCAAATTCAGCTGAACTTAAAACACATTCTGGCTTTATAAAAACTGCAGTTAAAAAATCGTTTCCCCTCTTGCAAGTGTACCAAATGAAGATTGTAGAGCAGTTACACCTAATTGTTGAATTAAAGCTTAACCATTCCAGAAAATATATCAGCACACCAGTTTTTTGCATTCAACCAAATAGATCACATCCAGTTAACTCAGGATACACTTCACTGTGATTTTAGCTTTCATTGAAATAAAAAGCAAGGGATTTATGTTTTCCACGCCTCTCCTATTTCAGACCTAAAAACCTCCCTTTCCAACTTCATCGAGAAGGAGACCAGTCTGGATTATGACAGAGGGGCAGAGCTTGCCCTGCAGAGACTCACGATGGGAGACATAGACGTTAACCAGCTCACCAGTGCTTGGTCCAGGTCTTATGTGGAGGTGACAGCATGTTTCATGTCGCTTTGAATCTGTAACAAAAGATACACACAGAAAACCTGAGAAAATTTTGCCTGTTTAAAAAAAAAAGAAAAAAGAGTCCATATTAATACAGTAGAACCTTTACTTCGATTGCCTAAACATACATATTTTCCAACAGCTGAGGTATTCTCATGTATTATGTATGTTATATCATTCGTTCCAAATTTCTGACAACAATAGCTGATGTGTGCCGGCTATCCTTCTGGCTACCTGTAGAATACAAGATGGACAATGACCAGACCTGAAACTACCAAACACAAACCCAACAGTCTGTAAAATGAAACCATCCGTGTTCTGCTGCATCAGAAACTCTTAAGTCTGTGTGAATAGTTCAGCCCATGACTGTACCCCAACACGGATGTCAGTCCAGGCCCTCAACAGGTGTGCTGTTAATTACTGCTGGACAGCTGAATGGGAGGTTTACCAAAAGACATGTGTTGACATTTAACCCGACAGAGTGGTTGTCACATTATGGCAAAAAGTAATCCAACACTGGCTCATGATGAAACTCTCCGTATCCTGTAGCCATGTCAGTCGGGAGGCGTCTGTTTTCATGAGTAGAAATGTACAGTAGAGGGCAGAAGACACATCCTCATGGCCAACCTGTCCGTGAGAGAGATTATAGAGATCTTCTTTACAAAGGATCAGTTTTTCACTGGATTTTAAGGAGAAAATCAGATCATGCAAACCAAATAATCTTGAGACTTTATGTTTTTTTTATGGTTCGGTCCAGTTTTCTTTGGGTGATGATGTTTGTAATTTAAAAGAAATTACAAACTGCATTGAATCGTTAGTGTGAGCATATAATTATTACTTCTATGCTTCTTATAGCTGGTTTCAGTCAGGTGACTCTGGCTCCTAAGGAAAACACGTTGTGGATTAGCTAGACAGGCAGACTAGTGCTTTATGTCCCTCTCTGCCATTCAAATTTTTCAAAATGGCGGAATGCCATAGAAACCTCCGTGGACTTACCCATCCTGTATATATACAGATAGGAAATTCTTGGCTAATGAGGAGCAGTCAGATCATTGCAGAAGTCATTTTTACACCAAACGAGGACACATTTGTAAAAGAATAAAAATGATTTTAGCTAATAAAATACTTAAAATACTACACATTGTCCCCTTAACAAGTTTGATAGTGACCTTTATCAGAAACCTTAACCATTCTCTACAGTTCGAGATTCAGCTGAAATATCATTCCAGCTTTAGCAAAATACAAAGAGTGACGTCACCCTCTTTACTACAACAACAACTCAACTTTGCTTCAGTCTATGAGCAGAAACTGTTATGCTGGGAAACATTACAGTGAAATGTAGCCATTAGTGATGTGGATGACTTGCTTTACACTTTGCAGATACTGCCTCACACACCCCGATAGTCCGGCCACCACGCGTGTGTGTAGCATCGAGCCGAGTGTGTTGGGAGGCGTCCCAGAATGCTCCCTCTGACTTTGGGGCAGTCATGGATCATTAAAGTAATCCAAACAGACACAGAGCAGTGCATCTGCAAATTGATTATTCATGAGCTCTCGCCGAAAAAGAAAATCTCATCAAACGTGCCCACATGCTGCGTTTAATGTTTCGCTCGCTCATTTTACTCGGTTACACTTTGATGCTCCAGAGATCCAATATGTGGTGGTTTCACATATTTGAGAATTGAGTCATCAGTTTTGTCCTCTGGGCCAGCACGAGACAAACGTCCTAGTGTGAAGTGATGTCGGGGCACAGAGGATGTTTTGAATTTAATGTTTGACATACACAATACGAGAGATATGAACAAAACGTAAAAGAAAAATACGGTGAGATTTAAATTCAATGTCAGGAAAATGTAGCAGAGAATCAAACCGGGCTTTAAAAGCTACAACTACACATGAAGCTATAAAAGAAGCATGTGATACATAACGGTTAAATTCAGTCATCAGCTCCAACCTGATTTCTTTTTACGGTTACCATAAACACCCCCTCTCTTTTTTTTTAACCCTCAAAGTTCAGGAATTTAAGCTCTGCTGTGACATGATTTGGTGTCTGCCAGGCGTTTAGGGTTGTAAAGCCCCTCCGTCCTGTTGCACTCTCAAATTTAGCACTTTGACTGCAGTCAAACAGAAATACACATGGAAGCTTTCCAATGTCCATCATGTTTGTGGCCTAAAGATTCCTGAGCCTACATTATATAAATAGAGTATCAGATTGTGAGAACTGCTCAGTCGCTTCTCTAATTAAGGACGGGGTGTGTGCTCTGCCCTCGTACTGTTGTTGAATGTTTTATTTGTTTGTCTTTCAGCTGAGCTTAACACAAATAGTGTGGACTCTGCGTTTTCTGCGTTTCCTCTTTTGCCTTCACAGGACTTTAGTTTGTGAACTTTCCATCAAAATTCGGTTTCTCACTTCTTCCTGCTGACAGCATGAGTGGAAGAGCATCTTTTTTTGCTTGTTTGTGTTTTTTTTTTACTGTAAAGTAGTCTTGTGGTGTAGAATGACCAAGTCTTCTGAAACAGACTTTCCTCTTCCCATCTGATAACCTCTTAAAGAATATAACTTCAGTATTTTTCTATGCTCTTCTTTGAACATGGACTCGCTTTTCTGTACGTATTAAGCCCAGTCCTTGCACTTGAACATTTTCAAAGAAATGCTGTGTTCTTTTTTATTTTCAAGTCGATTAAGAGTGGCCTTATGATTACTTTCCAGTGTATAAAGCCTCCTAACTCAAGGGATGAATCACTGTTATGGGTACACAAAACAGACAGCTTAACAAAGAATAACTTTTTCTTGGTAATATCTGAAAAAATGAAAGTTGACTCAACCTCGTAAGCCCCAGGACAGTTTCTGGGGTTCCTGCCCAAATTAAATTGCGGTTTTCTCTACAGTTGCAACTCTGTGTAAACCACCTTAGTATCGAATTAGAGCTAAAAATCTGTGAGAATGAATCTGCAGTGGAAGCATCGCAGTAGCTGTCATTGTGTCAGAGTAACTTAGAATGGAACATAAAAAAACCCTGAAGGATGTTTTTTCCTTGCCTACATTTTTTTGTTTTTTCCACCTTTCTTTGCATGTTTTATTACTTTGTTGGTCCTACAAATGTTTTTTGTTTTTGGCTGAATTTCCAGTGTATGTGTGGATACGTCTGTCTTTAGGTTGCACCCTTGGCGTCATATCCCAGCCAACAGGATGCTGCTCTCTCTGTTTTGAATGGTGATCAAATAGTGCTGTTTTTGGGCAAGTGAAAGCAGGATGGTGTCCAGTCCAATCTGTCTGCAGTGGACTTAAAACACAAAAACGTTGCCCAGGCCTAACCGGAACACTTTCTTTCTCCTCCCGCTTTAGACGACCCTCGAGCACGCTCTTCCCGAAGAGCCCAGTCGGGCCGAGGACTTTGCTGACGTTTACCACGAGCTGATCCACTCCCCAGCCTCAGATACGCTCCTGAACCTGGAGCACAACTACTTTGTCAGCATCTCTGAGCTCATTAGTGAGAGAGACATGGAGATTAAGAAGCTACAAGAACGGTAAGTGTTAGATTATTCCCATCCCACTGTGGGAGATAAAGCATATGGTCCGATTTCTCATGAGCTCAGTGATCGTTTCTCTGTCCGAAGGCAAACAACAGAAATGGACAAAGTGATGCATGAGCTGGGGAATACACTGAGTGACCAGGATGTCAATGCAGTAGCATCTCAACACTTTGATGCACAGCAGGTAAAAAAGTTTTAAATTAAAAAAATGATAAAAAAAAACCCTGATTCTTACATATTCATTTAAGATGTCCTATTTTTTTCGTTTGATTTTGTATTTTCTGTGAAGATCTTGGAGAACAAGTGGACCAGCGAGCTGCAGCAGGTGACCGAAATTCAAAAGCAGGAGTATCAAGAATGGGTGATTAAACTGCACCAGGATCTGCAGAAACCCAGCAACAGCAGCATAATTAAGTAAGTTCAAGCGTGTCCTGAAAATACCCGCAGCTTCGCACAACATAAAATCTGTGTCACAACGCCAACGACCGACGAAGCTCAGTGTCGTCAATGATTAATATTTGTTGTCGTCCTTTTGTGGGTCAGATTTAGGCACAGCACCAGTGTGTAAATTAGCACAGACACACCCAAGCTGCTCACGAGCTTCTGGGGATTTGTGAAATCGTACACAAGGTGGCGCTCTCTTTCCCATAATCACCTGCAGAGATCTGCCAACAGCAATTTGAAAGACTTTGAGCAGAATGTTAATGTAAACTCACAGCCAACAGTTTCCACCTTTGGGATAATTCAGAGGTGTTTTATCCTTTGGATAGAAAGCATAGATCATTGGGACTTTCTGTACATGTTTTTTTTCTTTTTAGTCATGTTATTTTGGCTTTGTTCAATATAGCTCATATCTACTGGAAGATATTCTTCTTTATTCTTCATTCCTTTATTTTTAGACAAAACACCCCCGAGGTATGCAAAAACAATTACCTTTAAAGGGTTAAAATCCCCAAAGTATAATTAATGTTTGTGTATGTTTGAGACACAAGTTGAAAGCCTGAGTTGTCTAAATTGGAAAAAATAGGATTATGTTCTATGCATTTTGTCATTAGTGACAAATGCATGAATTTGAAGGGGGGGGGGGGTTATATTCTTGGAAAACTTGTTGAAAGGAAAGAAAAGCCAATCAGCATCATGTTGGATAGAATATAACTTAACATACTTATATGACTTGTTAAGGATTTCCAAAAGAACACACCTGTTAACGGCTCTAGTTTCAAGGCCAGGCTTCATTTATCTGAAAACCTCCAATTAATTAAAAGTGGTCTGATGATAAAAATCCGTATCTTATATTTCAGAATATTTTGAGCCTGCAGAATGGCGTAGAAAGGATGGCACAAAGCTCCATAGAGCTGTGGCTCCAACTGGGCCCAGCTGTGTACAGGAGCTTTGGCTTTTGTGTTCGAGGTGCTGACTAACTCAACAGGTTGAGCAGGAAATCATTTATGGCACAATAAGAAAAAACAAGCCTATAAAGAGCAAAAGCAGAAACCAGCAGGACCTGTATGCTAAGAGCTGCTCGGACAATGTGCTGAAAGCACATTACGTGATATAATCCTCATCCTGTGTGGGTGGAACTTCCACATCAGCACTTTCAACAGCTTTTTAGATTCAAAGTTTTAGATAAAAGCTTCATCCTGTTCTGTTCATGGGAACCGTGAAATGTAATCAGGTTGGAGCTGATGACTGAGTTCAACCGTACTGCATCACATGCTTCTATTATAACTTCATGTGTAATTGTAGCTTTTAAAGCCTGGTTTTATTCTCTTCTACATTTTCCTGACGTTGAGTGTAAAACTCACTGTATTTTTCGGTTGTGTTTCTTTCATATCTCTGTTGTTGAGAGTGATAAACGACCTCACATTGCCCCATTAGGTCGATGTATGTCTCCTCTTTCCTTTCACTGCGAGCCTCTCTGTTATGAGCGGCTGATGGATGGATGCCTCCACTGTGTTCGACGTTTTTATGGAGGGATTTTCATCGAGACTTCTTTCCAGTGAGGAGATTAAGGTGCAGTCCAGGCAGCTGACTGAGGCGGCCGATTCTGGGACCAGGATGTTTGAGGAGCAGCCTCAGCTGGAGGAGAGCTTCACCATTCACCTGGGTGGGTTTACCTCCCAGCCAGAGCTTTTACTGTGGGAAAACCCTTTGCTTTAAGGACTCTTTTTCTCCAGGAGCGCAGCTGAAGACCATGCACAACTTGCGGCTGGTCCGAGCGGACGTGCTGGATTTCTGCAAACACCGTCGGCACGGCAGCAGCGGCGCCAAGCTGCGGCGGCTGCAGACGGCCCTCTTGCTGTACTCGTCCTCACTCTGCGGGCTGGTGCTGCTGGTGGACAACAGGGTGAACTCCTACAGCGGCATCAAGAGAGGTCAGCAGCCCAAAACCTGATCCGCACACACACGTTTCCCCCTCTTTCTCCCAGAAAACCTGTTGGACTGTTTTAGGGCGTGATGACAGTTTGATTTTGAGGATCTAATCTATGAGATTAGTATTACTCACTTTGCTCTTTCACACCCCTTGTAAGGCAAAGCGCTGCCGCTTTTAAGTGTTTATGCCTATTAGAAAATAGAGCTATGAAGCCCTGTGTTCATTCCTGACCTGTTCCATGTTGATCCCCAGACTTTGCAACTGTGGCAAAGGAGTGCACAGACTTCCACTTCCCCTGCCTGGAGGAGCAGCTGGAGGAGGTGCAGCAGGTGCTGCTCCTGGCCCGGGTGCAGCGCAGCAGCAAGCAGAAAGACCAACCAGGTTACTGAGTTTGCATATAAAAAAGACTCGGATGACTCATTCTCGATCCTTTTTTTCTTTTTTAAACATCCACATTTAGTTTTGACAAACTATTTCTGTGCTTGTTTAGCACAGCTGGACACCGCTGTCTTTCCCTCCCATCAGACAGAATTCACTCAGTTTAAAGTTAATCTTCAGACTCTAAGAGTTTATATTCAGACAAGCACAAAAAAAGAGAAGTACTTTGTTTTGACTTTAAAAACACCAGGGAAGAGCTCAATGTCTTTCTTTTCAACTGAGAATGAGCGGCAATGCTTTGTAGTGCTAAAGTTTTAAACTGCGGAGCTTCTTAGAGAGCTGGAGACTCTCACTGTCATGGCATCCGTAATGGAGAGGGATTAAACTGTCAGCAAGCAGAACAAGCGTTACATAAGTATAACTTCACTGATGGAAAACTTTGTCCAGAGGCTCCTCACATCATAAGTTAAGCGGTTAAGTGGAATGTTTCTCTGTGTAGAAACCTTTTAGTTAGTTTGAAGCGTTTGATGGATGCTCCACTTTCCACTTGCTCTCTGGGTCCTGTATATAAACATTTAAGGTAACTGTTATCTTTTGTTTTTATTTGTATTGCCGTGTACTCACAGAAAATCGAAAGAACGGAGGTGATGACAAGAGCAAAACGGTGGAAAGGAACCCGTCAAACATCGTACCAGGTGACGTTTCTATGTCAACCAACACCTGTACAACTCGAGACCAAAAGCCATCCTGACGCTTGTCCAAAACTGTCCGTGTCTCCTTTAAGGCGAGTTTTATATTTCACGGCACTCCAACCTGTCGGAGGTTCATGTCGTCTTCCACCTCTGTGTGGATGACAACGTCCGCTCGGGCAGCATCACGGCCCGGGACCCGGCCATCATGGGTCTGAGAAACATCCTGAAGGTCTGCTGCACTCATGACATCACCACCATCACCGTTCCCCTGCTGCTGGTTCACGACATGTCAGAGGTAAGACCACTGAGAAGGTTTTTAGGGATAAGTGCAGGAAAAACTGGTGAATAAGTCCAAAGTAAGCTTGAGTGATCCTGTTTAGGGTGTTGGATGTGCTGAGAGAAAAAGAAAGGTACAGTAGAACCTCTACATAGTAATTTAATTAGTTCCAGGACCTACTGGTATGTTAAAATATTCGTATGTTGGTTCAAATATTTTCATAAGAATACACTGTAATTCCTATAATTTGTTCCACAGCCCAAAAACCTACGGTAACTCCTTAATAAATACTGCAGATGATTACACATAGCAATAAAACAAATGCATTATATAAGAGAGATGTAAAAAGAAAGAAATTATAAATAAATAATCAATAAAAAGGGTTTTTTATTGGCACTTAACCTCAGATACAGGTGAACGGAGGTAGAGGTGGTGACTGAGATACAGTACAAACTGTAACTTACTTTAACTTTCACTATGTGAACTTTAAACTAACTTAGCTTATTTATTTGTATTTAATTTTTAAATGTTTTTCCTATGACTTCGACGTCATACGTTGGAAATTTACTTTGAGAGTCGAGTTGAATATTTGATGGAATTTCACTTTGGTTGTTTAAAATTGTGTATGTTTAGGCATCATTCTGCTGTGTAGAGATGGCTACACTGAGTCTGATGGCCTTTGACTCGTTTTCCAGCTTTGTGGAACCACAAATGAGAGAGGTCTGGCTGGTGCAAAGCACTGGCAGTACCAGATGGCATTCCTGCGAGGAGAGCAGTGGTCAAGACGGAGCACAACCCCAAATGACCGAGTTTAAATAGCAGGGTGCTGACTGCATACCCAGCAGGAAAGCCTGTGTGATTTGAATCTGATTCGGGTTGCCACAGACATCCGGCGGAGTTCACTGAGTTGCTGATCAATTCCTGTTTGGCTGTTCTGTTGTTGTCTGGACTGTTGTTTGTAGTACTAACCTAATATAACAGTTTCTCGTGCCTTTAGGAACAAATTAGTTATTTTTGTGTTTTTTTGTTCACTTGATTTCAAAGAAATCAGTCCTCTGACACGTGGGAAAAATAAGTTTCTATTTTCTGTGCAACATAACTGTATGTAATGTCTACAGAACAATCTGTAACTACTATTTTAGTTCCTAAAACTGAAATTTTAACAGAAAAAATGGAACCAAAAAGCTGAACCATCAGTATTCGGGACGTTTTTGGTCCATGCACATGAAAAGAGGACCATAAAGGATCATGCCAGGTCCTAAAGAGACGCTTCTGTGTCCCAGAGGAAATTAGTAACGGTCAAAACATGGCTGTTTTTTTGGGTGTCGGACCATGAAACATACAGTAAGTGTGTCTCATAATCTGCTTTGCTCAGATATTGTGAAAGAGAAAAGCGTGGAAGCGTTTCTGTGTGTGTTCTGTCTCCGCTTGTTGACTCGTTTCACGCTCAGCTCCGATCTGGTCTGTGCGTCACGGCTTCTTTTCAGGTAAAAACCTGTTCGTTGACTGAAATTGACTGAAATTTAATGCACCCCATAGGAGCGACAACCCGCGTTAAAAGGACCTCAGGCCCGTTTTTGCTTTGTCTTCAGTGCCTGGAATTAAACCTGACACATAATAGTGATGAATCCCACAGGAGCTTCAGTCCGGAGACGCTCCTGCCATAACGTGCCCGCTGGAGCTAATCGAGCACCAATTGTTTACATAACCAGAGTGTTTTCATTTCCTTATCCTCCAGAGGCAGAGGTTTTTAATCGACAGCTTCTGGTTTTGCATCAGGATCTTCCATCTGTCAGCTCCTTATTAAGGCGTTTCTCGTACAGAGCAGATCTTTGCCTGTTTGCACAGGCTCATTCTCCAGTTTTTTCAGACTAACGCAACCGGTGCGGTTTGTTGAAGGAACAACACACTGCAATCAAAAGAAGACCGAGCTCTTCCTCTCATTCTTTTTTTAGGGTGTTTTTGTGCTGGGAGGCACTTTTTTTTTTTTTTAGATTTGTCAAAAGAGAGCACAGAGGATTTGTTAAATGAGGTTATAATTCATGTTTGACTGTTTATGGAAAGAAGGCTCTTTTTTAAGATGAAGCCAGTAGCTGTTTGGCAAAGACCACAGCTGCTTTTTTGGTGCTCTCTGTCCGCAGCCGCCGCCGGCCGGGCTCCTCGCTGGCGCCAGCTTCGGCCGCTATCGAAAACTCCAGAGCGCGCTGACCTGTTGGTCAGGCCTCGGAGCTCCACGGCTGAGCGCTGCTCCGCTCGTCCGTCGGTCAGTCTGCTGCCAGTCAGCATGTGTCTGGACATGCGTGTTGTTGGCAGCCACGCCCTCATGGGGTGGTGACTCAGGATGGGAGCAACAAATTTCCCAGGGGTGAGGATGTGTGACAGCTTATGTGACACTCCTAGCTGGGATCAAAGGTAGATTGCAGAGATAACTTTTCTCTGAGGTCATTGTGACGGCCTGGAGCAAACGCACTCAAAACTAGGGAAAAAAAGGAGGGGAAGTGTTCTGGCAAAGTGTTTTCAGGGCTTTAAGATAATTTCTTTTGGAACAAAGGGACTTGACATATTCAGGTTAGACATAGTTCTGTATGAGGATACAGCCGTGACCCAGTTCATGATGTGTGTAGCAGTGTGTTGTGACCACGTTGCTCTCCATGTGAGGACCTTTTTAATTTAAGCTGTTAATGAAAATGAAGGAATTCCAATTGAACTTTTTTCATTTGTACAAAGAGCATCAAATCAAAGTGTGAAACTATGTTTATAACAGCTAAAACTATTCATAAATGAAAGGGTTGAATGACTGACGCAGATCTAAAAGACGTTTCCTGGGATCTGCACCACAAGGAAAAGGATTCCTCCTCCGCCTTTGCTCCACTTCTCCACCACGACTCCTAAATTTAAGGGGGCTTCTTGTGTCATTTTGGGCAACCAGACACAAGTTGGTTGCGTTCTCCATTGCATAAAAAAATAATGATGGTAGTTTCTTATTTCCTGTTGTGACTGATGGGCTTTTGTCCAGTCGACTTAACAGAAACCTTCATTTAGTGAAATTAAATACGCTTTCTTTTCACCAAAATTTAATCCGTCTTTTTTTTTTTTTTTAATCCTCTACTTTAGTGCCGCTATTCTCACGCCGTTTCCTTATTTTTCCACGGAGCAGTATCAGAATTAGCAGCAAAAGACGAGACAAAAATATTCCCCCTCACACCTTGAACCAGGTCGACTGGCAATAAGGTGAATTATATCCAACCAGTCTGAAGTTTGGATGCATCCTCACCTTTAGATGTTTGGAGAACAGTAGCTGGTAACGTTTGAAGGCCATTATGTATTGTGTAATTCTCATTCATTCTTTTTAAAAAAACCTTAGAATCATTGATGTGAGCCGTCTTTACTAATAACGAATAATTTCAAACAACTCGCTGCTCTCATTTCCCCTGCAGGAGATGACCATACCGTGGTGTCTGAAGAGGGCCGAGCTGGTTTTCAAATGTGTCAAAGGTACGATGAAGGCTCCTCATTGTATCACATTTATTTCTTTATAGATGATTAGTTACAAAAATCCATATTGGTATTTTTTTATTTGACTAAGTTTGAAAGTAATTACTTTACCGTTAGAGGATTAACATCAGTTAATTCCAAGAAGTCTGACCCTCACATTCCAGCTTCAGTGAAATCAGTACAGTCTGTCTTAAAATTTAAAGGCACGATAACAGAAGAAATAGACTGAGTCTAAAGGTCCAATTAAACAACTGATGAGATAATAATTGCAATACGAGCCGCCTTAACTTGTTTCATTTGCAGGTTTTATGATGGAAATGGCCTCCTGGGATGGAGGCATTTCCCGCACAGTCCAGTTCCTGGTGCCAAAGGTAAGGTCAGAACCTGTTGTGTGTTACCAGCTGGATGAAAAGAAGCTGAATGAAAGAAAAACTGTCTGTTACTCCTCAGAGGTTTTTCTTCAATAGACCATAAGCAGATACGACAATAGAGGTGCAGTCATTTATTTTTAGTCGACCTCTGTCCAACCATGGGAAACACTTCTCTGACAACTTATTTAGAGCAAGAGACGAGGTCAGAGTGACTCCGCTTCCCACGTGTGACCTCTGATCCGCTACTCAGATCAGTGAGAGCAGGAATTCCTCTGCATGTAGGAGCTGCTTTTTACGTTTCACAACCTCAAGCTTTGGATGCGCGATTGTTCTTTGACTGATTGCCTTCCAGTTATTTCAAAAGACGTATGTACTTAAGGCCTCGCGTGTGCCCGGCATCACAAAAGGCACACCTGTCCTCGCAGCGCATGCTTTTGAAAGCAGACGCAGAGGAGCTGAATGCTGGAAAAGCTAGCCGTAAATCACAGATTATAGAGCTTTAGGTTCCCCTGCACCGTATTTACACTGTTGTGATAAAAGAAAGCTCAGACTCTTATCACCTGAGTGTGTGACAAGCAGGGGGATTACGCCCTAGCTGGGCCTGCCAAGACTGAGGTGAACCCATTTCACTTTCTTAGAAGTCTAATATCTAGCCGATTAATGGTCGAAATAAGCTGATGAAGCTGTGCAAAGATGAACATTTCCAGGCGCAAATATAGTAGATCCTCTACATACGAATTTAACTCATCCCAGGATACATACTGTCTCTAAAATAACTTAGCTTATTTATTTTTATTTAATTTTTATATTTTATATATATTATTATATGACTTCGACGTCGTGTGTTGGAAATCACTATAGGTGTCGAGTCGAATATTTGATCAGATTTCACTTTGGATGTTGGAAAATTCATATGTTTAGGCCATCAGAAGTAGAGGTTCTGCTGTATCAAGAACAGCTTCGCCTCATGTTTTCAGATGGGTCTGAGCCCAGATGTGGGTGATTCATGACTGTTGCTCTGCCCGGGCTGAGCTGGATGCTGCATACCCACAAACCTTTGTGGTTTGCCGCCGAGGCAGGAGAACCTGTAGCGTGTTCTCATGCTGACAGGACGAGCTGAGAAAGCCAGCGGCATCAAAGGACTCTGTCTGTTCCGGCTTCCTGTCAGCTACATGCTCAGACACAATTCAAAATAGCAGCGTCTGAAATGGCATTGTTGCCCACACCTCAAAGATACATACAGCGTCTAAATATATACGCGGCCTGTCTGTGTGCGGCTGCACTTCTGCTGTAAGATTACTTAACATTCTTGTTTGACGGGTGGCAACTTCTGGAGTGACGCGGTATGCGCTCCGTTAAAGCCGCAGCTGCCGGAGCTCACATCATTTCAGCACTTGAGCCCTGAGGGAAACGACCCCAACTGTGAACTGAAGGACACTACAGGGGCCGTAAACACTTAGCCACACAGAGAGTCGTCCAGATGTGTTTCTGTGTGCTTTTGGCTGCATTTTAGCCTAAGGTTTATTCCGAAATGGTCATTTCCGGTCATCTGTGGATTGTGGTCCAGCAGAGCTGCACCACGTTAAGACAATCCAGACTGTTTTCAGGGGTTGTTCCAAGATGGTGGAATGACCTACCATAAAATTAAAGCCCCCAGAACAGCTTTTAAAGCCCTCAAAAAACTGTTTTAAAGCCCCCAAAAACAGCTTTAAGATGGTGGAACGACCTACCAGGTGCTACAAGAGCAGCAGGTCCCTGTCTGTCTTCAGGAAACTCCTACAGACCCACCTCTTCACAGAGCATCTCCTATCCTAACTCCTTCCCATACTTCTGTACCCTCTACTCCTCTTTCTATAATTCCCTCTATCTCCTCCTGTCATCACTGACTCTGACTGGGGATTTTCCGCTAGAGAGCTGATTGTCAGATTGATGAGAACTGGAACATTGTGTCTACTTTGTAAGTTGCTTTGGATAAAAGCGTCTAAATGCACAAACAGAAACATTTCTGTCAATCTAATCCCATCTTTTTGTGTCTTTTTGTGTTGCCAGAGTATCTCAGAGGAGATGTTCTACCAGTTGAGCAACATGTTGCCTCAAATCTTCCGCGTCTCCTCTACATTAACTCTCACTTCAAGGCACTGACGGGGTGACAGGCTCCACTTTGAGGATCAGGACGAAAGAGATTCTGTAAAACCAACGTCTGATTTACACATTGCAAAAAACAATTATGTTCTGGTGGCATTATAGCACTTGCAAATCACGTGGACCTATAATCATTGTTAGGTTTCTGTGAGCTTTGTTGTGTCCTGCTGGAAGGGGACCGGGGTCCAGCCTCAGAGCAGCTGCTGCTGGTATCGCTCTGAGCTGAAAATATCCCAGTTTTTCCCTTACGGTTGTGATCTGTCATAGCCGAGGATTTAGTTCCGGGCTTTGGAAATTAAAAGTTGGCCGAACAGCTGAAGAAAATGTGAAAGTACGATATTGTTTACTCCAGTGTGACCCCACAAATCTGGGTTACATTCATGACAGCTAGCCGCTCAGCAAAGTGTGGCTTTTGATTGGCTTTCACCACATTCTGAGAAACTTTTCAGACGGGGTTAATCAGACTGCGGCGATTATGGAAAACAGTGCAGACTCTGGCTTTAAGAAAATTGTAGTTTAGATGGGATTTATCCCTCTAATCTCATGCAGCAGATCACACACATGGACTCTTGTCATAAAAAAATGACAGCAGTTGGGGTAAAAGTGACTCACTGGATATGTGGATCTGGACGGTCCCTCCCCTCTACCTGTGTAACAGCAGGGGGCGCTGTTCCGAAAGACAAAGATGAGCACACACATTAGCCAACTTTGCCCATTAAAAGAAGGGAAGTTTTAATGAGCGTTTTCTACCCACCGAGATTCATTTCCAGCTGTTTAAATCTGTGTTTACTGCTTTAAAAAGACTGGCAGATGTGTAACAAACTTACGGTAAGCCTGATTAAAAATGTCCCTGTATTTTTATGTTAATTTACATTTTTATGTTTTAATAAATAAAAAAAAGTAAGCACAACCACAACCCCATGTCTTGTATCTCCTTATGAAACCCGTCATTAACTTTTTCATATTCATTTTTTTAAAAACTGTCTCTGAGACATTTCATGGTATTTTGTTGATGGTTGAATTTACTCATAGGGACATAATCTCTTTAAAGTTGTGATCCAAGGCTTTCATTAGAATTAGTTTTCTGCACATCAATTCAAAATGGCCGTCATTCCATCTTGTCAGGTTTGCCACAGCTATTTCCTTTTTTGGCATTAGGCTAATTAAAAGAGATGACAGTTTAGTAATAAACGAGATGGCCAGCTTTGCCTTGGGGTTACTAAACTTTTAAACCGCCTCAGGCTGTCGGCTACCTCTGATTATATCACACTGGCAGGGTGAGAACCGAGTAAATTGTAAGAATATGTATTTCTGAGTGTTTGACATTCTTTGGATTAGTCTCAGTGGCCTTGAGTAACATTTTGTTTTTCTTGGAGCAGAGAAATTACTCCCCCACTCCAATGTGTTCAAAACCAGGATATGTGAAGCATCGCATGTCGAAATGCATCAGTTAAGCTCAATGTAAGTTTATGTTTTTAAAAAGCCAAATGTAAATAGAAAAAGGCTTAGAAATAATGATTCAAAGGAAACCTTGTCCAGACGAGGTGGAATTGCATTATAATCTGTAATTGTGCCAAACGTCATTAATCTGTTTGGTACAACTGAAACCACTAAGATGAGGGAGGGAATATGTCTCCTACACCAGTCTGTAGTGGTTTAATGAAAAGAAACGGCACAGAGTACTTTGTCTATAATGATTATGCTTAAATCTCAAGGTACAGATTACATTTTGGGTATATTTCATAGATGTGACAAGAAAGTAAATGCATAAAGTGCATGAAACTCATGCAGTTTTCAACTTGAAACTACTTCTAAGAGAGATCTCCAAGCTTTTCACCACATGGAGCTTACTAAGAAATTACATGCTGGAGAAATAGACTGACTCTTATAAATGAATGCATGATGTAAATGAAAAAATAAATTGACAGTTTTGAAAGGTGTCCAATGATGGCTTGGACAGGCTTCGGCCCCTCAGTGACCCCAGTAGGAATAGGCGGCTAGAGTCAAAGGATGGATGTACACACCTTCAAATATTTAGACTTTCTACATAAAGGCGGCACCACAATGCTGCTTGAGTTTAGAGATCCATCCTTATCATCTAACACTTTGTAAGGACTCTTCATTTACTATAGATGATTAAATATTCTAATTAAGGTATTTGCATTTTTTCACTATGATACATCCTCTTAAATCATGAAACAACGTGGAACTTAGATCTTATTAAAGACTCAGACTCTCTTAAGGGATTTTTGTTTAATCAATCTGATTACTGACATCTTGCTAATTATCCTAATCAGCTGTGATCCATAGATTCCGTGTGACTGTTTGACATTTTGCCTTTGTTTTATTTTTATCTAGTAAAAGCTTTAAATGACACAAGTTGAAACCTAAGCTGAATTTAACACAGTTACTTTAACAGTGTGGGTTTTTTTTTTTATCGTAAGCGATGAGCTCTATCAAATTAACGGTAAAGCTTTTTTCAAAAACCTATTGTATCCAAGCTATATTTGTGTTTAAATTTAGTTATTTTCAAATAGTTCTATCATCATCATCAATATCATTCTTATTATTATTATATGATATATCTCTAATAAGTTATCTAATTAAATTGCAGTTAAAAATTAATTGATTCAGGAAACTTGTAGCGCTACATAGACCAATAACTGTCATTAGTCACTCCTCATGGTGCAACAGCATTGAGTAGAGCAAGTTTGACTCTTTTCCAGCTCCAACACATTTGTTCTGATGAATGGATCCGCTCCTCAGCTCTGCAGAAGGACAATAATGAAATATTCATCTGAATTAAGTGTGCGGGAACTGGGCAAATTGATTACATGGTTCCTAACAGGCTTGAGAAAAACTGCTAGGCCATTTGTTGCTGCAACTTGGCTGTTGCTGCCTCTGACTGAACACCCTCCACTTTCTAAATCTATCTTGCAAAGGACTATTAGCATTGTACATTTAAAAGCATACACAGCAGCTAGCTGATTCCTGTTAGTATTTTATGAAAACTTTTAATCTTTTATTGAAATGTCTTTTTAGTCAACATCTATTGATGTGATCACATTTTTATTTGTTTTAAGCTCACAAAATAGTGTAAACTTACAAAATATGGCCTACTTGAAAGCATTGAAGATTTTTTTTTTAACTCTGCTCTGGCTCATTGATATTACCATATTTCATGTTTTAATCACATCTAAAAAAAAAAGAAAAAGAAGGAATTTATCAAGTTGTATGTTTACATCCGGGCTTTAGTCACTTTCTGCTAACTATTCTGGGATTCATGTTTTAGATTTAAAAATAAAAGCCACAGTTTTACCTGTAAAACATTTCAAGGAGCATAAACTGTAACAAACGTCTACATCCTGGTTCCGAAAAAAACGTTTATACATTGACGAAATATACAATTTTTAAAAGTTTCGCTTTCTCGAAAATAAAAGCGGGCTGTACTTTAATTTATGCTGAAAACACGAACCGGAACAGGCCCGCCGTCAGGATTAGCTTTCTGCCTGTGGTCACAGCTGGGTTGTTGGCTCTCCAAGTTGAGCAACAGTGGTACGTTGGGAGCGAGCGAGTGGCCACGGATTTGTTGGAGCCCCGCACATCCTAAGGTGAGGATTACTCATAACAGAGCCGTGTAATTTCGTTGGCGCTTCATAGACTAAATGTGCGATAAAGTCTCTGTAACACGAGAAGAATACGCTCCTTGGAAACTTAACGGCCGTTAGTGAAACTTGCCCGTCGTCCGTGGTAACGGTTTACCGCCTCGAGACCACAGACTACGGGGTGGAAATTATGACCGACCGTTGACGTGTTTTACCTGAGTTTGTTCGCCTAGCAACAAAAACGTGCGGAGGTCAAAACGTGTGGAATTATCCCGTCTTTTTTAAAGTTTAAAAAATTTTTTTTTTAAGCAGCGTGGTGTTTTTCTGGAAGTTTTTCCACTCAGCGGCGCTGACTAACAGCTCCGGACTCACTGAGCTGCTTCCATGAGCCGGAGTGGCCGCCACTTCACGGGCTCCCCGGCCGCCTCAGCCCTCTCTGTCCACCGCCAAGTGTTGAGGGTTGCTCTGCGGAAAAATCCGCCGCTGATGCCCGCTGTTTGACACATGGTGATGTGGGGGAGGCGTTTCAGGACACCCCGCTTGGAAAGTTACTGGCACGCGACGTGAGCCGCACTGACTGTGGCAAAGCTGGGAACTTTAGTTTTACACCACTTCATAACGATTGCATACTTAAAAAAATGTATTTAAGAGGTCACACAGGTTACAAATTCTTCGAAAATGCACACAGACTGTCAGTTTGCAGAGTGTTCGGTGGTATTTATGGGGATTTTATGATGGATGTTCGTTTTCAGGGTAAACTCGCATGTTTCTACACTTGATAATCCAGATAACTAATATGATAATGATAATTGAAATGGACTCCCAGATTTGAATAGTTTCTTGTTGAAAGCTTATTGGCTTTACGCAGAAGCTCTTTGGCAACAGCTTGATTATGTTTGATTTATCAGCTGCTGACAGAAATGAAAGTTAATCCTTGTTAGATTAGTCTGGATGAAGCAAATGTTACAACTGAGCACATGAGTTTGCAGAAAGCTTTAAATGGTTTTGTATTTCAATGACTTTTTTTCCCCCCTCTCTCCTGTCTGAATAACTTTTGATCACACCCATTTAATGCAAGTCCTCCTTCTTTATAAATATCCTTTTCTAATGAAAGCAACGCCTGGTATGTAAACTAAATGTTCTGCTAGGTAAACATATCCTGGCACAGAAAGTTCCCATTTGTTTTTTTCCCCCCATAAATCTGGTTTCTCTGGCAAATACCAGAAACTCAGACGCTCTAAAAACCATATTATAAGGGGAGAGGATCAAAAGGTTAAACAGCTTTAACCCATGACAGAGGGACCTTTATTGTCCCCATGACTGTGACTCTGCCTCTCCACAAAGGCCTCTTTCCCCTCGTCATGGACCACTTAAGTGTGCTATTGATTCAACCCTGGAAAATAGACTCTTCTTTAAAGCCTAGTTCTTTGTGGCAACATTTCTTTTCGAGATTTTTCAGACTTATAACAAACACGAACCTTCGTATTTCCTGTAATAATTGTAGAATTTTCTAGATTATCCCTATTTGAGTACCACATTCCTGCATCAGGATGATCTTAGCGCGTTAAATGCTGTCTTGTGTTTTCCGTTTTGACGTCACCTAAAAGTTTGACTACTACAAATCACTGATAAGGCCCGGCTGCGATCAGAGTGGCCGATCTGGCGGCGCTGGCTGCTCTCCGTGTTGCCCCCGGAGGGGTCGGCACAGCTCTCGGCTGAGCTCATCTGCTCCAGAGAAACGCTTCCTCACCCAGGATGTTGTTGCTAGACCAGCTGGCCGTTCTCTGACTGCTCCCTGACAGTCTACTATACCCTCGAGCCGAGCGAAAGATAGTCACCCACCGATGAGGACACCAAGCTACTTAGCCAGGCTGACGGCTTTGCTGTTTTAATCACTCATAGGCTGTTTATCCCCCCGGGGCTTGCTGTGTGTACCTGTGCTCTAAATGAGTTACACTTCAGTTCCAAGTCTTTGAAGACGGGTGATGAAATACAAGATTATTATTTTTTCCCGCAAATGGCGAAACCTTCGCTTGAAGGGCGTTTTCTGTCTCTGTGCCCCGCCCTGAGCCGCGTAGTCGCAAACAATTACAGGTATGCAATCTATATAATGGCTGGATCAGATCGAAGATCGGAGACGCTCGCCTGAGTGGGTAAACACTCTGGTCTGACTCACGATAACCCTTTTAAGCTAAGAGTCGTGTCAGATTCTCAGCTTGACATCTCAGTTTTTTCCCCCCAGTGCTTTTAAACGCTGAACTCTTTGTAACCTGTTGTGCAAGCTGTAATTCTTAAAATC